CACAGCAAACGGCGGATGCCGATGTCTAGTGATGTTCGTCCTGGCACTGCGGCATCCCAAGGAGCCAGGGCCTGGTAGGAGACCGTCCACTCTTGGATCAGGGACCACCTGGCTCTGCAGTAGTCCCTCCACAAAACGTGAGTTAAAGAGATAGGTCTCTCAGCAGTAGCCGATTTGGGCAGCATACAAACTTGTGTCAGGAGAAACTGCTGCGGGACTCGGAGGCCTCTTTCGAGCTCCTGATAAAATTCAGCGATGTCCTGAAGCATTGGCCAAGTCAATTTCTTGAGAAGGGACTTGCTCCAGCCATCCGGTCCTGGGGCAGTGACCCTGCCTTTGGAAAACCTTTGTTGCAGCTGTTCCGGGGAAATGGGGCTCAGGGTAGCGACCTGCTGAGCAGCCAGTTCCCGTAGCTTTCCGCGAGCCTGTTGCTCTGCGTGTGGAAGAGGAGGAAGGTCCTCAACTCTAAGTACGCCTTTCCAAGTGCGGAGCCATAGTTTGGTTCTAGCCAGGGCGCGGACCTCTGCGGACAGATCCCGAAAGGGACGTGCAGTGGTGATTTCACCTTTTTTGATCGTCTTGAAAAGGGGAGCCATCCCTTTTTCTTGGGCTCCCTGCAACCACGACCTGTACGACTTGGTCTGGGCATCCTGGTGAACTTTAGAGGCCAGCAGAAATTGCTCCTGCAATAATTGCTGGACGGGCTCAGGAACAGCTGCCTGCTCCGAGAGACAGGCCTGGAGCGTAGAAAGAAAGGAAACAGCCTCCTCCGAGTTGCCCTGCCAGTGGTCCAGGATCTGCGGCAAATACTCCTGGCATTGCTCTCGACGTTTGGGGTGGTCTCCCTGGCACAGAAATTGTACCCGGTGCCAAAAAGCCTGGCAAGAGCCTTCCCATGCGAACTGGGACATGCGAGGAACAGCTGGGAGGAATTCAACTTGGAGTTGGCGACCAATACCCTGGGACGTTTGCAAAAGACTGTGCTCCACCGAGCTGGAAATGGAAGCCAGTCGATTGCTCAGGGGGTCAGCCGACAAGGTGGTATCGGGCAAAGAGGCGAGGGTCTCCTCAACCTGCATGTAATCAAGCGGTTCTTCCCTGAAGGAAAGCACAAAGGAGGGAAGCTGTGGAGTGGTGAGCTGGAAAGCGCCCACATTAAGGGCAACTTGGATTGCTGCATGTGGCTTGAAAGGAACATCCCAGGAGGCATCAACCCGGAGCAAACCTTCCAGGCAGTGTGATACAGCCAGAAAATCAAGCTCATTGTCACCACATGTGGCTTTGTTGGGCCCAATTGGTTCAAGGGACAAACTTTGAAAAATGGCAGTGTCCAACAATTCCTTCAAAGGCGAGTTCCAATCTCCACCTATCAGGATTGGGCCCCTTACAGATCGACGAATCCCGCGCAGAGATGCTAGGATGTCAGAGTTGACCGGGGACCCGAAGCCGGAGGAGGACTGGAGGTACAGGCTAACTACTGTCAAGTCAGCCCCTTGTGTGCGTAGCGTCACCGCCACGTAGCCGCAACCTTGGTTGGTATACTGGCCTCGCAAACGGGCTCCCAGGTGGGCTCTAACTAAAACCCCTACTCCGCCTCTAGAGCTATTCCGTCGGCCTTCCCCAGGGGCTGCGGGCACAAGGAAGGAGTCAAAGCCCATGGCAGCCATAGACGAAATTTCAGCAACAACTTGGGACTCCAAAAGGTGGTGCTCCTGAATCAAGATAACATCCCCTTGAGCTGAAAACCATTGCTTGACTTCGGCCTCCAAGAAGTGATGTTGCAAGATGTGACTCGCATTTGCCTATGCCCCTGTGGCTGCGATTTGCGCAAAACTTCAAAGCCCCGAGCAACAAGCAGGAGCAAAGTCAAGTCAAAAGAACGTTGGAGGGCCAAGATCTCTTGGCACAGCCACCAACCTAAGCTGCCCTGTTCAACCTGATCAAGAAGGTGGGCAACCAACTCCGAAGTTGCTCCCAACAGACCTGGGTTCTGGACAGCCTCCCACACCTGGCCTTCGAGTGTTCGCCACTGGCTGTGTGGGCTTGCCGACGGTGGCAACTCAGGTGGCATCTCACAAAGGGCAAGCTGAGAGAATGGCACCCTAATGTGTTTGGGCTGTTTCGCTCTGCGCCTGGTTTTATTCCGTTTGCGGGTGACCCCAACCTCGGCGTGGCTCCCCGACGCCTGTAAGCGAGGAAACTCCTCAACTTGAGATGCCGTTGCTGAGGTTGTGGCCACAAAAGCAGAGATTGAAGAAGCACCGGTCACAGGGACCTCATCAAACTCAGTTGTCGAGAAAGACGGGGGCCAAAATTGGGGTCCAGTGATGAGTTGGGTGTCTTGGGACTGCAGCGGGGTGCTGTGGCGTAATCCTTTGGTAACAGTCTGCCAGGCACTCAAATCCCCAAAAGAATCCCAGTCTTCCTTACCAGAAAAACCAGGTAACCAAAACTGATCCCATACAAGGTCGGTGTTGCAAAATTGTGAGTAAGCCTCAACATACCCTGAAACCTTCTCTAAGGACTTGGGCTGCTGAGGTTGGCACTCCCCCAATGAAAACAAATCACTGTACAAAGAAATGGGTCTCTTAACCGATTCGCCGGAAAACCCGCAGGGCTGAGAGCTGGACGCAGGGGCACAGGAAACATCTTGATCAAGCAGAAGGGCAGGCTGAAATGCACAAGCAGGTTGCCCACTGTCCCCACTTAAAGGACCTTCCTCGAAAACAGACCTAACCTGAACCCCCAGCCCCACTCCCTAACCTTGCTGCGTGCTACGGCCTCGGCTCCTGGACCTGGGCTTGGCTTGCTCATGCGGCTCAGTGCCCTTGTGTTCTGGCAGAGTTTGGCTCAGCGGGGCACGGGTCGGAGCCGTCAAACCAGGCTGGTTTGTGGCTTCAACTTCCATATTCTGCTGCCCATCGTTAAGCTTACCGCGCTGGGCCTCCTCGTAAAGCTCCTTCTGCTCCTGGGTCAGGACAATCCCAACTTTGGCAAGCGTATCTAGAAGCCCTTCCAAGGGATCGTCCTTGCGCGCGGGGTCCTCCAGACCCAAAGCATCAGCACGGAGTGTGGCTTCCAACTCCGACTGCATAGCCGTGACTTCAGCTTGCTTGCTCTGCAAATCAGATTGGCAAACCTTCATCTTCTCAAGCAGCTCCTGGTAGGTTGCTTTGGCTCGGTCTATGCGAATCTGTAAAGCAGCAGTTTGCTGGATCATCTGTCGCAAGTCCGTAGTGCTCTGCTTAAAGCGACGAGTTGCAATCTCAATCTGCTGAGTCTGCGTGGGGGCCGGAGGATCAAGTGCTGCAAGGGCTTGCTGGATCGAAGGCGGCAATGACTCCAAGTGCTTCTTGCAAAGGGCCGCAAGGTCTGTTGGCTCCGACGCCACCGGCTCAGGGATGCCAGCTTGGCGCATCAGCTTCTTCTGATCATCAGACGCGGAATCCCACAGGTTCTTAGAGGCTTCGGCCTGCTCGTCAAGCCCACCCTTTGCCCCTTTGCCTTTTCCAGACTGGAGGCCTGGAGGCGGACTCGGCTGCCGGCCTGCTTGGAAACCTGCCTCGCTCAGTTCCTTCTGGACCTCTGGGGGAAACTTCTGCCAAAGAGTCGTGACGGCTTTGGAGAGGTTGCCCTCATGATTCCTAGGCCGTTGGGGGCTTTGAGTTGCACTCTCAGTGGTTGCGCTTCTGTCCCTGTTCTTCTTGGGACCCCGCGGGCGCAGTCTTTGAGTGACCGGAGCACCCTGTGTTTTCCAGGCGTTACCACACAGGTTGCAAAAGGGGTGGTGCTGGACTCTGTCTACGAAAATCCAGCTCTGCTTACCCGCCCTAGAGCAGTGAGGACAGACGATGTAGGGCGTTGCTGCACCCTTGGCACCGTTTTTTCCCCAAGTCATGGCGAGCAAGCTCAACCTGTGACAACGGCTGAGCAAGTGTTCGGCTTGAAAGCACGTGCAGTATGGCACGTAAACCCGCCCCAACCCTTGCTGGACAGCCAGCCTACGACCTTTAAGGTTGCGGTTTGGGTTCCAGTCAGGGCCTTTAGCAAAAGTGGGGACTCCAGGCTAAAAGGCCACGTCGGCACTGCAAAGTCTGAGCCGAAAACTTGAGCCAGGATTGAAAATCATTCCGGTGGCGCGAGAAGTCCACGGCCAGAGGCCTGTCCGAAGAAACCCTGAAGCATGCATTAATTAAAACTGGCTGTAGCAAAGCCAGGGCTAAGCGAGTACGCCTTGAAGGCTCCAGTACAACCAGTAGCCTCAAAGCCCTATTCAAATCAGAAGGCTGTACAGGAAGGTGTATGGCTCAAGTAACCTCAGGCCCCATTGGGCGAGGTAGCGGTTGAGCGACCTTCATAACTAACTCACTTAGCTCAGTTGGCGGCCAAGAAGAAAAGGAGACCGTGCAGCTGCAAACCAAAGTAGCTGCAAAACAGGTGTGTCAAGCAGGTTTACACTGTTGCAGTGCAAAAAGAGGGATGGGCAGCAGGGTACACACCTGCACACACTGCACACTCTTGCACGGAAGGCCCCCCCCCTGTTGACTACACGTACCCTGTACTGGCCCTGCACAAGCTTCAAGAGTACGAGCCTCAGCCCAGCTGGCGAGGCGTGGTCCTGCTCCTTAAAGGCACTCCTGAAGAGGCTCTCAAAGCAAAGGCTCAAAGCAAAGGCTGGACACTCGGGCTGACCGGACCGAGGATCCTGCAGAAAGCGGGGCTCCTGAGCACCGCAAGCCTGCCAGAGCACGGAAGCGGAAGCAGGCAGGCTACGAAGCCAAGGCGATGCTGAAGTACAGTGCTTGGAACCATTTTGCAGAGCAACAAGGCTGTCACGGCCTGCTGCGGGACCTTTGGTCCAGGTCAGTGCCTAGGCTGAGCTGCACCCTGCCACAGCCTCGGGCCCTCAGCCCTAAGGCGAGGGCCCAGGAGGCAGTGAAAAGCAAAAGTTCAGGCGGCCTTCCACTCGACGGCCAGGGCAGCTTGACTCACCTAGTAGGCTAGTCACCAAGGAAAACTCCCTGCTGTAGCAGGCACCACTTGTAGTGCTGCGTAAGGAGTGGTCGTAGCCGTTGCAGCACCTCCTCAGGCGAGGCGTTGCTGACAAGCTGGAGTAGCTCCTGAAAGTGGTCTGGAACACTCCTCTTGACCGCGCTCCAGAAAGCCGAGGCACGCTGTCTGTTCGGCCAGTGTGCCCTTTGACCCTCCCATGGAAGCCAGTCTGCGGTGTCCCACATCATAATGAAGCCACGGGCATCAACACCAAAGTTGAAAAAGCCAAGATCCTTGAGATTGTAGAAACGGGAGGCCTCCGCAGTCAGTGCCATCATGTAGCGGACCATATCAAGGTCCGGCGGAGCTGGCCTCCACACCGAAAGTGGAGTGAGCCTAGACTGCCTCAAAACATGCGTGGGGATGATATCATAGCAGCTCTTCCAAGAAAGCGTGAGCAGGTGAATACCCGCATCCAAAGTGCACGGCACTATATAAGGGAGCAGTCTCCAAACTTCCGGTTCTGGCCCGTGGCCTTGTGGTGGCGCCAACTTCAGAACGTGTTCCGAGGAGCCAGGGTCAACGTAAACTGTCCGGGACTTTCCGAAACCCAGCCGTCTCGCCTGAGCAGCTTTTGTTCGCCCACCAGTGACAAAGTCATGGTAAACTTCAAGGCTCTCCGGAAGGCACTGGTAGTGGTTCACCGGATGCTTCACCTGGGGCGCAGCTACACATAAGAAAGTGATTAGGCCATCCTCATGAAGAAGAGGGCCAAAGCCACTTGGGCGATCTTTCGGCGCGACTGCAGGCTGTGGTGTCTCACTGCTGTCAGATTGAAGACAGTTGCTGGAGTCGTCCTGGTCCACCGGTGGCTCTTCAGCTTCTGGAAGTCGTTGCAAAGGTAAGCCTTGGCTGCTGGATGCAGCAGCAGTAGGGGGTGGAGCCCTCAGCCCTAAAGGCGAGGGCTCCTCCCGTGCTGGGCCCCGGCTGCTGGAAGCAGCCGCAGTGGAGGGAGCCCTCAGCCCTGAAGGCGAGGGCTCCTCCGAGTCGGACGGCGGCTCTTCAGCTTCACGATGTCTCGCCTCCGCACGAGGTCCTGGTGGAGGTGATGGGGGCGGCCAAGCCTCCTCAGTTCTCCTGCCAGCGTGCTCATTTTGTGCGCGGCGCTTCTTCTGTTTGCGGGCTTTCTTACGTCCCCGCTGTCGGTCTATCGTCGCCGCTGATTTCCATGATAATCCCCGCTCCTCACGGCGGAGTTGCGTGGATATGTGCCGCCCTTCTTGCTTAGGCGCCATGCTTAGCAGGCCTTGGGCCTAAAAGCGAAGGGTGCGCTGTGTTGGGTCAGCCTTCGGTTTTGTTTTGGGTTTGGGTCTAGCTGGGGCCTTAGGCTTCACTGGCGGAACAGCTGCTGGCATGCCTAACTGAGATCGCAAACCTACATAAACGGACTGACCAGCTGCTCCTTGCACTCCTGTGGACTGAGTGACCTCGCCTTGGCACTCCGGCAACCTTGGGGCAGCCGCTGCAGAGGAGGCGACGGGCCCTGCTGGAGGGTTGACCTGGGCAGCGCTCAAAAGGCCAAGCTTAGGAACTGCAGAAACACGCTCTGGCATAGGGCCGGCACCGAAGTTGCTGGCAGATTGAAAAGCACTCGCAATAGATCGGGTGGAGACTCCACCAACCTGTGCCAAGGCGCAAGCCTTGGTGCCACTGTTTACTTTACGCCCTAAGCCTTTACATGCAGACTGAAGAAGGGACGAGGGCGAGACCGCGCCAAGTTTTACGCAGGCCAAACACTTGGCACACAAAAAGTGAGATCCTCGATTATGCATGTCATGGCTGGGGTGTATTTTCCAACTGGGCGGCACAGCTGCAGCAACACCACGGCACGGGTGTGTAATTTTCCGATTGAAAACATCAAGCGAATGACACTGTTCAATATATAAATTGCATTTTTCGCAATACACCGAGAAGTTGTTTGCGGCCTTAGTCTCGCGGGCTTTCCAATCATGACCAAGTGCTGGATCAAGGGAGTCCAGCAACTGCTTCAGGCGCTGTTTTTTGTTAGGCGGCGGGACTTTAGTGCTTGCTGACACAGCTGCAGCTTGCGACCGAGGCTTGTCAAACTGGCTTAAGGATTCTCTAGCGGAGCGGGGAACAAAACCCTGGGCTTTTTCCTTGATCAGCTTCTCAGCCCTGGAGGCGAGAAAACAGTTGAGTTCCCGGGTTACCAGGTCGAGTTCCTTTACTTTGCGTACAAAATGCGGGGTGCATGCAGCAGCAGCTCGGCTCCCTGCGAGAGTGTCTGCTTTGGCATTGAGCTCGCGGCGCCAAAGCTGACCAGGGAATTCAGCCTCAAAGGCCTCAGCCGTGCAGTGGCTCCTAACCCAGTGCGGTTGAGCCCTTGCTCGCTCCTGCCAGACTGGACCCCATTCAGGTATATGTTTTTTGTTGAGAGCTCTGGCAGCCAGGGCTTTGAGAGCCGGCTTGCAATCACCTGTGAGGTCAAAACTGCCAGTGGTGGCCTTGAGGGCTTCAATGATTGCGAGGGACTCCCCCTGAGGCACCGTGCTGCCCGGCGGAAGAAGGCCTGAGATGGTTCCGTGCTCAATAAGGCCATCAGCGCGGAGTTCGCAAAGCACGACCGACCACCCTACAGCCCTAAGGCGAGGGTCGTGGGTATTGGGACCTCCGCTAGCATCAGTACCTATGAGGAGCCCAGTGACATCAACCGGCTGATGACAAAACAGCCCTGTCACCCTGGTTTCCAAAGCTGAGGCCGAGACCTGCGGGGTCGTCCAAGCCTTTGGGACCATTCCTCGTAGCCAGAAGCAGGGGTCTGGGTGTTTGCGCTGAAAACTACGGAGGGCCGGGCTTAACTTAGCAGGCGCAAGCGGGCACTCATAGTAGACATGGTGCAGGGTATTCTCAGCCCCGCATGCGCAATGCGAAAACCCCCCGTTCCCAGCGTGCAAGGTGCGTCCTTGCCACACGGCGTGAAAGGCCCATCGCGGGGATGAGAGCTTGGAAACCTTCAAGAGCTTTCGGTGGACTGACCAGTCCACTCCTTGCTGGGCACCTTGGGCCGTGAGGACTGCACCAAAGCGGGAAGCCCTTTCAAGGGCAACAACCTGAGTAAGAAAGCGGCGAACTGACAGGAAAAGGCCAGGGTTGGTGACATCAAGCAGAAGAACCCCGCTGCTATGAACCCAGCGCAGAGGATCACTGACATTGATGCGCAAATCAATACAATACTGCACCATAGCAGCAACCGGGCCTGCAACACACTTCCATCCATGCACGGCCGCCTCTTGGCGAGTCCAGGCCACCTTCCAGGTGCGGGCTAGGATTTCCCAGCCTTGTGCCGTGGAGGGGCCGAACATTTTATACAAAGCATCAGCCTGCGCAAGGACAACTGTCAACAATGGGTCTTGACAACGGAAGGACATACAGTCCAGAGACACGTCGACAGAGCCCCACTTGGACCGCCCAACATGCCTGGAGATGGATGCGCGAACGACCTTGAGCCTTTTGGGGGACAAGCCCTGTCCCTGGCAACCATAGATCTCGGCCGTAAGAATGGAAGTGGCATACAACCTGTGGGCTTTGCAGCCTGTGCCAAGTTGGTGAAGTTTCTGGTTTCGGGCGCGGCCGACCTTGAAGCGTTTCAAAGCATGCGTAACCCTTCTGCGCTTGGCACCTGCCGAGTCAAGTCCAAGGTCCCGGACCAAGTCAGCAACCTGAGGATCGCCTTCAACACGCATACTGTTGAGTGCTTTGGCCGCCTTGGCACTATTGACAACAAACTTGGTTTTGGTTTTGTTAATGCGAAGCTTCTCAACGGAAAGCAGGGCCTCCAATTTCCTGGATGCCGACAGGGCCAAAGAGGCCGCAACCTCCGGGTCAGCATGGGACACATCGACACTGATGTCATCAAGCCATAAATCGGCATGGCTGACCCCACGGTGCTGGGAGATGCCCTGCAGCGGAGCATGAGTGGTGAGTTTTGCAACCGTGGGTGCGTACGGGCACCCCTGAAGGATGCCCCTCTGGGGCCACAAAGCAACAGTGCTAACCCCCTCGCCATGGAGACAACGAGGCCCATTGTAAAGCTGAAGACTAAGTTCCAAAAGCAAGGGTGGAAATGACAAAGCTTTGCCCTGTGAAATCAGTCGAGAAAAATCTACCCCATCATAGAAACCTTCAAGATCAACGAACAAAGTTATGAAAGTAACTTTGCGAAACTTATGATCCTCTGCCTTGATCAAGCGAGAAAGTGCTGGGTCAAGGGAAGTGTGTCCTGGGGTGGCGGAGTCGAAAGGGGCAAAGGCCGCGTACTCCTTTAACCAGCTCTCCAGGAGAGGGCGTCGCAGCTTGCTGTACACTCGCCAAAGGACCGATGTGAGAGATATGGGGCGCTCTTTTTCTGGGGTTTTTGCAAGAAGGGCGACCTGCACCGTAAGCATTTGAAGCGGCAAAGTAAGGTCCGTCTCAGCAAGACGAAAGAGCCCCGCAAGCTGTCGGTAGCAGAAGTCAGGGAGGTTACGCAGAGCCTTGTACGACCAACCATCAAGGCCTCCCTTCTTGTTGCCCGTGGCCAGGCACGCTGTCTTGACCTGCTCCCAAGATAGCGGTGACAAATCCTGCGCCTGCTGCAGGGCCTCAACCCTTAAGGCGAGGCGCTCTGCAGACAGGTGAGGCTGCGGCGGCACAATTGACGCATCCCAGATGCGGCTCCAGAACTCCATGCGACAGTAAGCCCGGGCAAGGGCCGACTGGTCCCTAAAGGGCCGGGCGAGAGTCTGTTCGTGGCTTTTAAGAGCACGATACACCGGCCCCATGCCAGCCGACAGGGCTCCAAACAGCCATTGTTGATATGACTCCGCCTGCGCTCCCTGCTGAGCGGTCTTAGCAAGCTTGGCCTGCGCCTCAGCATGGGCCCTCAGGGCCGCGAGGTCACGATGATTTGAAACAGTGTCCCGGGCTTCGTCTGCCCATTGATGGTGCTCAGGGCCGAGCTTGGAGAGCAGGGAAAGGGTTTCATTGGGCGGCCCCCCAGCCTTGAACCGGCCTGCGAGCTGGGACCAGACAGAGTGCTCGTGACCAAACCACTGGTAGTCATTGGGGGGTTGCGACTGGCAGAAAACTCCGCAAAGGCGAGGGAGGCGGGGTCACAAGCCTCGATTTCCAGGAGGGTGACCCTCTGCGGTGACACAACCGGGGGTTGCAAATTGCGCTGGTCGTCAAGAATGGGGTCAAAAGTGTCAGTGATGGAGCGCAAATTTGGCTGGAGGTCCTGCAAAGACTTTAGAGGAAGGGTGCACTTAAGCGCCGCATGGGGCTTAAAGGGAACATCCCAGGCAAGCTCAAGCGAAAGATGCGAGGCCAACCGGGGGTGGACCAGTGCATAGTCCAGCTCAGCTGCGGTGCCTGCAGTAGGCATCCCAGTACCAAGTAACCGACCCTTTGTGAGGTCCTCAAGCCTGGTGGCGAGGACCTCACAAGCATCTAGGTTCCAGTCTCCAACCACGCACCACGGGCACTTGAGCGAGGCAATCACTGCATACATATTGGACAGGACCAAGGTATTGGCCCGGCCTTCAAAAGTGCTGCCTGACTCAAGATACAGCGACAAGAGGGCTAAGTCGAAACCCGTCACCCGAATAGCGACAGCTACGAAACCACAGCCCGTTTCAGGATCCTGAAAGGTGTGAACGTGTCTGGCCTGCAAATGCGACTTAACACACACCATCACACCCCCAATCTCCCGCTTGCGAACAGGGGAATGCTGGCCATGGACATGGTAGCCTGCCTTGGCGAGGGCAACCGTTTCAGCATGAAAGGCCCTCTCCGAAAGGTGGTGCTCCTGAATCAAGGCCACATCAAACTGGTGAAAGACCAGCCACTGCCTAAGTTCAGGTCTCCAGGAAGTCACATTTGCCGAGACAAACTTGAAAGTACGAGGCTGACCCGAGGAAACAGAGTGGACTAAGTCCTCAGAAGCACGAGCGATGCGGGCCCAGGTCTCAAGGCTGTGATCCTGAATCTCAGTGGCCTCCAAAGACTTAAAAAGGGCCCAGTGTTCCAAGGTGCCCTCCTGGCATTGCTCCTCAAGCCCTTCGGCGAGGTGTAAAAGGTCAGGCTCCTGGTTCCAGGCAGGATGCAAAGCTTTATATGCACTCAGGTTGAGAAGAGAGCCCCAGCCTGACCGACCAAGGCTCTTCCCAACCTTGCACACCGCAGGGGACGGTGAGCCTTGTGGGCCAGGAAAAGGTTCAGCATCCTGTGGGGTTGGCGCAGCATGGTCAAAGCGGGAACCATGCTCTTCCAAGAAAGACATGATCGGTCCCCTAACCAATGGTTTCTTCACAACCTTAGGTTCCGAAGAGGCGCCCTCCTCCGGCGAATGAAACATGGCGGGATGGAAAAACTTTGGGCCAGTCAGGGCACAGCTAGGGGATGGCCAAAAGGGGCGGGATACAGTCCTGGGGAAAACAAACCCATCCTCGAGCTGGGCTGGCTGGTCTTGCAAGGGAGATCCGAGCCTCGAACCCGGTGGTGAGGCTACGGCCAGGCCCACGTCAGCACTGCAAATGCTGGCCTGAGCATGTTTTGATGCGTAATTGACATGGATTTCGGCACTGCAAATGCAAAACTGGACTCCCACGGCATTTGGCACGAAAGGGAGGCCACAGTGCCAGCACTTGAAAAAGGTGTTTGACGCGTCAGGGCTTGCGCTTGGCTCCGAAACTTCCAGATCACGCAAAACCTCACTCAGAGAAAGAACCGGAAGACAAAACCCGGGGCCCCCGCGCAACCCCCCACCTGGATCCTAAAGCTCGTCACCCTTGTCACCGCGCTTGGGCGAGCGACTGCGCGCCTTGCCGGACTGGCTGTTCAAGTCCTTAGCGTCTGCGGCGTTTTGCTGGGGTTCGGCGGCCGGGGGTGCCGTAGACTTCGGGAGCAATCCAGGCGGGAAACGATCCTGCTGCTCGGTCTTGCGGCGCTTGGCCTCATCAGCATTGTCCTTCTTCAGAGCAGCGATACTGCGCTTTTGGGCCTCAGTGAGGGTATCCTCCTCGAGACCCAGGGCCTGCAACACAGAATCTACTCCATGACTGGCCTCTTCTGCGCACTGTGTGAGAACCTTAGCTTCATAATCCTGAGTGGCTTTGTTGACCTCAGTCTGTGCTTCCTGGATGGAAGCTTGCAAGTCCTGCATCTTTGTCAGCAGGGCCCTCAGATTGGCCTTGGCCAGGTCAATGTCTTCCTGCAGCTTCAACTTACGCTGGCCAAGGTCGCGCAACTTACCGACGGAGTTGCGCCACTCAACACCTGCAGCCTTGCCTTCCTGCACTGGGTTAGGGACCGGTGCTGCTGGCAGAGCATCCAGGACTTCCTGGGGGAGATCATCACGGTTGCGCTGCAAAAGGCTGAGTAGGTCAACATCTTCCGGCTTCGGGGCCGGCACTTTAAAGCCAGCCTGCTCAAACTGCAAACACACATCTGCAGGCAAGGTGGACCACACCTTCTGAAGGCAGCTTGCTAGCTTAGCTGGCTTCGGCTGCCGAGTTCGAGGTCGCGGCCTGCTAGGTTCTCTCCAAGGTGCCTGCGGTACATCAGCGGGCCAAGGCTTGCCACACCAACTGCACTTCGCAAACTTCTGCACTTTAGAGGCATAAATCCAGCTTGCAGGACCACAGGTTTTGCACACATAGTACCTACCTCCTGCCATGACTGTTCTCTCAGCCCCTGAGGCGAGTGAACAGCCCTCAGCCCTGGAGGCGAGGGCCGGCACCTGCACGCTGGAAAGTGACTGGCAAAGCCAGCACTGCACAAGTATGGCTCGCGAAAGGATAAGCTGGGATTCCTGTTTGAGTCCTGTGGCCCCAACGACAGTTAAGGCCCAGAGGCTCAGTTGAAAACAGCTACGCTCCCTACGCAGAACACCCACCTCTGAAAGCAGGGCTCGAGCCAGACTTGAGCCAAGGATTGAAAATCAACTCCCCCTCATGAACCTGTCGTCGAGAAAAGGTATCGGTCCACTGGCTGCTGTTGCGTATTGGGCTCGTAGATCTTCTCACGGTCCACGATAGTTTTATGGCTCTTCCAAAAACGGCTGCGGCTGTACAAAGAGGCGTCAGCACCTACCAAGCACTCAAAGCCCTAAGAGCTGTGTGAGCAAAAGCTTCGGGGTAGTGCTGGGTGTTCTTCAGAACGAACATCTTACTATGCTCGTGGTTTCCAGGGCACTTTAATTTATCCATGCAGTGAATGAGAACATGACTGTTCGAGCACAACCTCCAAACCTTCTTCACAGGAAGTGCGTCCATTCCAACCATGCCGCAAGCACAACCATGCACAAGAGCGGTCTCATGCGGATTGATCTTAAGGAATGACTTCGTAGCGGACCATCCCCAGTAAGCACAACGTTGCGGCCACTCAATGACCCAAGTTGCCGAATCAGATGTGTTGACTAGCTTCAAGAAGCTCTTCCAGAGCTTTCTGTGGACTGTGAAAAGTCCTTTCATCCTTTCATCATAGTGATCTGCAGATCGGGCTTGGTGATACCGCTGCCAAGGCGAACCACCGGTACAGGGCGTCGAAGCCCACACAACAACATGCATGTTCCGACGGTGTGCCGCACGAAGGGCGTGCTCAATGAGCTCGATGGTCTCTGGGAGAGTACCATCCGTTTCTTCCGTCACGGGAATAGCATGGATGCCATAATGGCTAGCAAGCTTAGTCAACCAGGCTTCTCCAGAGGTGCAGAACTCGACCATCACAATGTAATGCGGTGTCTGCAACCGACAACGACCAACCAACACACTCCAAGGATCATCGACGCTTGCAGAAAACAGACCTTTGAACGCGGCAAACACAAGGCAACGGACCGGGGGCGCATCACCTCGAAGATAGTCACTACGGGTGAGACGTTCCTCAAGACACAACTGTCCTATATGATACCAAGTTTGCGCGACACTCAAGTTCTTTGTTTGCAAGTCGGCGACGTTATCCGTTCCTGGGACGTGTGTAACCAGGATCTCGCCGTTCTCAACCTTATCCTGCAAGTAGCAAAGACGAAGGTCCACATGACGCATCCTTCTCAGGAAGCCGGACATCATACTGACTTGGCGAGCGGAAGAGCTGTCCGTAGGCAGGTATAGGGGTTGCGCAACGCTTTCGAAAAGGTGGCCCAAAAGCTGCCCCAATCCTACAAGCTCGCGCGCCATCTCAACCATAGCGAAAAGCTCAGACTCCGCACTGGAGAGTGCTACGATAGGCTGGAGCCTCGAGTAAGTCTTGATACAATTCCCATTCAGGTAAATCACTCCTCCGCTGGTGCTCTTCCGTCCAGTAGAGCGCTCAGAGGCCCAATTAGCGTCGCTGAATCCAACGAGGGTCGCAGTCCCAGGTTGAGCTTTGGAATCCTTCTGAAAGACCTGAACAAGATCGGGAACCTCCAAAAGCCAACGAAGCACTTTACGCATACAATCCTCATGCACAGCGCGCGGACAGGCTTGACCTCTAGACAGCATGGAGTGAAAATAACACAAATCCCCCCTGGTTTGCACAAGCCAGCCTAGTTTCCCTAGGGTGCTTCTAAAGCGGCTCGCGGCTTCAGGGGAGAGCTCTTCGGAGGGCTTCTCGGGGTCTTCCTTGTCAAGGATCGATCGGAGGTCTGGTGGTGCAGTGCAGGGCTTCATCTTCCTGCGGTTCTCCTGGCTCCACCCAAAAGCCTCGAAGATCGAATCGACGTATTCTTTCTTCACAGCCAACAAGATCTCATGGCCACGCTTGATTATCTCACGGCCTAGGAATCCGATCCTGCCGTCCTCATCCAAGCGTCCAGTCAACTTGACCTTAAGACGGCCCATGAGGAAGTCTAGAAGCTGTTGGTTTGCCTCTTTCGTTCTTGTGGCTAGCAAGATGTCGTCGACGTACACAAGACAAAGCACAAGGATGTCTCCCCAATACCCTTTGTACAACGTAGGTTCAATAAGAGAAGGAAACAATCCCAACTCAGCAAGAAGTCCAGCAAGATGCTTCTGCCACGAAAGGCCTGCCGATCTCAAGCCATATATGGCTTTCTCCAGGATGACGTAAACCTTAGAGCCATCAAGGTTCTGAAAGCATCCCGGCAACTCAAGCACGGTATCAAGAACCAACTTGGCATACAAGAAGGCAGTCGAAACGTCAAGTCCCCAAAGGACAAGCGTATCCTGGACAACACGACAGATGAAAGCCTTGAAGGCCTCCACAGAAGCAGTCTGGCTCGCAATGCCCAAGTCAAGCGCCGAAGGTTGATTGAAAGCAAAGTCTTTTGCAACAAGGCGCGCACGCACAATGTGCTGATCGTCAACATCAACCTTGTCAGTGAAGACAAAACGCGACTTAATGATCTTGGCACCTGTCTCCTGGCAGTGGGTCTTAATCTCATCATAGGTGCGGGCGTTGCCGACACCCAAGTTGTGCATAGCAGACACCTCTTTCTGCATGCCAACCCACGTTTTCTCAGGATCCAAAGGCAAGCCACTGACATCATCAACCACAGAAGTGGGCTTGATGACCCACACCTCCCGATCACCGAAAGGCATGGCTACCCCCTCATCGGGGTTACTGTGCTGAGCGGGTGCTTTTCTCTTAAGCTGAGCAGCAAACAAGCCGACCTCACCGTAATCAACAGGACTCAGGTGATGCTTCTGGTCCGGAATCACTGAGAACATGAACTGAGGCATGCTCGTACTGTCAAGGACATCCGGGACCTGAGCAACATCCATGGGCACAGTGTAGTCGTCCATATCAACCTGATCCATCTCAACGTCCCCACCAGGGAGATACTCCTGAGGGAGCTCAGAGTCTTGGGCTGCTTGTGAGGGTTCGGGCACCAGGTGCTGCAGATCCTCAGGAACAGGAGACCCAGGAAGACTGGGCTCGTAGTCCAAGCTCTCTTCTTCAAACTCCACAACTTCAGGGTTCGGGTTGATTTTTACTTGAGGCTTGTCAGGGGCTTGTTGCTGTTCAGGATTGTCAAGATCACCGAGCGTATCCCTGATGTAATCACGAAAGCGAACTTTGCAACGCCTAGAGTGGAAGCGCGATCTACCTAAGCATCCCGGACAACGTGCCGTTTTGTTGTTTTCAAGCCATTCAGGCGCCGGTTGCGGCAACGGGATTGCTTTCCTCGGTAGGGCCACCCCTGGTAGGCTTTCATAATCAGGCTCATCAGGATTAGCCTCGGCGATAGTGGGTAACAAGTTCGACGAGAACGTCACTGGGTAGGCCATCTTGAGAGCCCGGGCGACGCATCTTTTCATAGACCCATTTGAGAGTCTGATCATGCAGTGATGCCCTTGCCCACCAATCACGGGGCCGAGATAGGCACCAATGTCGTATCGACCATCAACTTGTGAT